TGGTCCCCGGGCCATATCTCTTTTTTCGTTGCGTGAGCATCATTCTTGGAATTCCTTTCTTTCGCGAGGAGAGGTGAGCACGCCCCTTGGTCCAAGTTTGGCAGATAGTTGGGCCACTCGCGGTGCCTTTCCTTTCGAGCATGCAAGCTGCCAACTGCATTAGTGTAGCCTTCTCTAGGCCGACAACGGCTTTAAAAGCACTTGATGGGCAGCTACCGAGTTCGGCCCTAACGTCCGAGGTTTAAGCATGGCCCGGCCAGTGCTATGGAGTCCAGCTCTGGATCATGCTCGATGTCGCCGGACGGAGCCCACCACTGGAAATATGGGAAATGCACCTCGGCATGTTCGGCCTGGAGGCATCAATGGCTACCTGAACACTCGACCTCTTTCCGTTTCTCACTTTAGGAGTCTGGGAAGGACAGCAGGCATGCATCCATGCATGCGTGCCAGCGCCTAGGCAACTTTTGCCAGATGGCTGAAGGCAAGCTGGCAAAGGGACCAGGCACCCGGCGCACGTAGCAGCACAGATGTTTTCGCAAGGAGCATAATGCGCAAAGAGCTCAAGATCCTGATTTTAGAGCTTTACTATGTTTTACTACTGGCATGCGCGCCAAAGGCTACCTGCATGAGTATAGTGATTTCCTGTCCTGCCGCAGGCGTCATGGCGAACCCAGGTGGTGCAGCACAGTGCGATCGGGGTGGCAAGTGCATGTTCAAGTTTGCCAAGTGCACGATGCTGGTCGGCACATCAGTGGTGTATTGGTTGGTCGTCCCACCTTCGCAGCATGAAATGCCTTCAGCCGGATTGTTGGCCATGCCCCCTGTCGGTCCAAAGCCTCGCGAACAGACTGGGAACCGGGCTTGCTAAGGAAGTGTGGCCGACCTGAGATGGGGGGCAAGGACCGCAAGTAGAAGTGCATCTAAAGAAACATAAATGACTGACAAAGACCAGCAGCAAGGACAGCGACAGCTGTGATTGGGTGTTCTATCAAGTCCTGTGGAGCCTGCATCCGTTTTCTGTGCTGCTGTTTTCTTGTTGTGCTCCTGGAGGATGTGCGGAGACCGAGCCATGAAGCAAGCGTGGCCCAGCAGAGATCATCCGAGGCCAGGCTATAATTTCGAGTTTGGTGATAGGTTCTCACTCGTGATACACGTGAGTTTCTGTGGTATCTTGCCACCGAACTGCAGCCCCGCACCACATGCCCGAATGCCTGCCCTAGAGCTATGCAGGAATGCAGGTGACCCAAAAGGAACCCCAGAGTCAAAAACTCGAGCCCAACACGGTGGTGCGACCAAAAGTCCTGCACAGTACATGAGCCTAGTCCTAGTCCTAGTTCCAAAATCTCAGCTCTGCAGCTGCAGCCCCACGTTCGTGAAGCTGAGTTGTTTCACGAGATTGCATCTCACACGTATGGAAACTTGGCGGAGACTTGTTCTTGTGACTGACGCAGCGCAACAACAGAGAAATGGCGGGGAAATGGTCGTGCAGGCCAAGCCATCGCCCAAAGTTTCTCCTCAAAGCAGCGCCAAACTTAGCACTGGGATCTACGTCATGCTGGTGGTCAGAAAGAAGCTGTCCTTTGGGTAGCTAGGTCCCAGGCCTCAGAGCCCGCTTGGAACTGTGGCTGCCACCCTCCTCCAGTCTAACAGCAAGGCTGGACCAAGCTAGGGACTTAATCAATTGCTGCAATTGGCTCCTTTCTGTGTCCAAGCGTGCTCGAAACGCACGGTGCAGGAGGATGTGGAGCGACCTTCTTCCAAAGAGAAAGCAAGCTTCTTACGTCTTTTGCTGCTGCCTTGCCACCTTGCTTTGGATGGTCTTCCTGGTCGCTTCCTCAGGCACCCACAGGCGGGCAGAGAAATGAGCGCACACGTGTTGTGTGCCATGTATGCTTCAGCCTCAGTCGCATGCGCATTGATTTCCAGCTGCGCCACTCGTGCCTTCATGTGGTGGTTGTTTGAGCCCAGCTGTGCAGCTCAGGTGGGTATAAGTCAGTCCCACAGTGGATGAACGACAGGGCACATTGCCTGAAGTGCGACGCCGTGCTGAAGACACAGGCTACGATCCATGGAGCCGCTGCCGTCCCAGAGAACATGGAGAAGGACTTGCATGCCCGCATACGCATGGATCCGCAAGGGAAGGCATACGTTTTGACGGAGCACTGCAACACGTAAACGAAGGACTTGGGCGCAAGTCGTGCCTCTGGCGAAGTGAGCACCTACAAGCTCGCGCCGTCTAGTGCCATGGAGTCTTCTTCCGGTACCTGCTCCAAGTCACCGAATGGCATGCATCACTGGAAGTATGGCAAGTGCAACTACTGCCAAGCCGCCGAAGGCAAGCTGATCAAGGGTGCTGGAGCCCTCGCCAACCCCGGTGGCACCAGCACTTGCAACAAAGATGGTGGAAAGTGTATGTTCAAGTTCTCCAAGTGCACAAAGTGCGGCAGGAGAGAGATTTGAGCCGAGCTGAGAGCTATGAGCCGAGTGTCATTAAAATCACTCCAAAGTACGCTCTTTCCGCAAGCTTCAAGCTTGAGCCTGTTTTTGAGTCTCTGCGTCAAGCCCTGGCCCCTTCTTCGCACCTGAAGCACTTTTCCGTGACACCTCTGAGAACCGTTCTAACAGAAGCCAGGGCCACGCGAGAATCGACTTGACTTTCAAGCGACACCGAGTCTGCTTTGTCGGTATTCATCCAGCCGATGGCACCTAGTGCCAGAGTAGTTACCTGCCATTTTAGCAGCAAGAAAGTGTCGCAGTGCCAGATCCTGAGCGCCAGTGTACGGCGACAACGGCCGAAACTGAGCACATGAGTCGGGATGCTGGCACAAGATAAGGCGCCGCCCTGAGCCGCCCCAAACCTTCGGGTGCACTAGCTCCGACAGGATGCCGGAAGCTGCTCCCGGAAAGGCTTGTCGTGGCAACTAGAGCAGGGCATGTAGAGATTCGCAGCGTGAATTTTGGTTCGCAAAACGGCATCCGAGAATGCAGCCGCAGCAATGCATATCTGTCTGGTTGTCTCTGCGGCGTGGGTTATATTAGTACGTGGGTGGATATGCGTTCATTCGGTATTTACAAAGAATTATGGGAATTATCTGAACGAGAAATAAATTTAGGGAAACTATATATATATATATATATCTTGTATTTTCATTTTCTGATTAATCGATATAGATAGATCGATAATATACCTACCTTCGGAAGAAGAAGAATATCTGTAGAAATAGATTATCGAAAAGAAATTCAGGCATAATATTTACGATCTTTATTTTATTATCCGATCGTACCTTGATTTTTATACATTTATCTTCTCTTCTCTAATTAAATTTTATCGATACGATAGATATGATAAGCAAAGGATGGGTTTGTTTAAATTTGCAATATGACGGTAGTAATATTAGAGGAGTATTGAAGTATAAATCTCTTTTTCTATTTCTCGTCTGCGGGAGAGTCGATAATCCGTATAATGTTAGTAGACGCTTCAAAAAAAGAGAAATACACGTTATACCTTACTGGAAATATTTATGCGGCGAGGGCACACGTTAGAATCATTTCGCGAATTTCAATATGGAATGCCCCCAACAAATATAGAATTTACGAGGGATTGATACCTTATATGAGAATATCTAAGATTATAAGATGCCGAGGGCTAAAGAAAGGGAGGGGTAGATCGATTTTTATAGTGTTCTGAAAGCATTCCTGAAAAATATGCGGAAAGCCTTCTTATTTTGATGCAGAGATAAAAAATTCTAAAATATGTTCTCTGACCAAAAAGTATTCCAATAGAGCGCTTTGCAGAACACTTGCCGGAATATTATTTTGCAATGCTTGTCACCTGGAGAGGATGGGCCCCCGAAAAGGCATTCCAAAAAGAGATCTCAAAAAAGCGCTCCGTAATGACCTTTTGCTGAAAAAGTATTCTAAAAAGTATTCTAAGATGTGTTTCTAGCCGGAAGCTTTCAGATGCAAGAAGGGTGCTCTCTCAGAATGCTTTTCGGTACACTTTCGAATCTGGAACATTATTCTCCACGCTTTTCTGCAACACATTCGGAATGCTTTTTAGATCACTATCAAGCAATAATCAAGATTCAGATTTTTGACTCCTAGGGGATCTTGAAAATCTAAAATTACACTAATTCTTTCTAAATACATCCGATTCCCTCCATTATAAATCATAGATAAAACTACGCACATACGCAGAACAAAGGTACTACCTCATTCTTTTCCCCAGAACAAAACGAAAGAAATCAAAGAAGCAGAGAAAATCAGAAAGAAAGAGAAAAGAATCGATAATATCCCTTTTCTATTTCATTTTTTCATATTCATAATTTCAATTTCAATATTTTCTATCTTTATTTTATTATTTTAATTTCTATCTATTATATTAATAGCGGGAGATAATATATACTTATAGAGTTTATTTAATTATCATTTTCTATATATATATATATTATTATTCCGAATAAGGTTTCAAAACAATTTACTAATCTAATCAAATATCTCTATAAGCAAGTCTATAATAAGAAATCTGAGAATCTGAGAATTTCGGTTACTCCGAGTCTATGATGCACCCGCCGACGAGCCAGAATTACGAGTGCGTATCTTCTTGATTCAGAACCCAATAGTGAACCCAATTATTTGCCTATCAGACGTTATCAATTCGGCGACCATTTAGAATTATTTTTAATTAATCCACTCAACAACTTACGCTAAAAAAGCGCCTTCTTTAGTAACTCATATACCTAATCAGATATGAAAAATCTAATACTTCAGTTCTCGACTACGGCAATATCGATATTCAGAACATGCAATGCTCGTCAGATCTACTGATACGAAAGCAAGCCGTAGCAAGGGTATCATCGAGCATTAATCACGTGCCCAAGTATGCATGCGTTGCGAAATATATTCCGCCAGGAGCTTGCGGTTTCGACTCTTGATCTTCCTTGCTGCTCTTGAAAATGCGATGTTCATATTCCTTGCTGCTATATCAAGCTGCACTCGGTCTATGGCTGTGGGTTCTGTGCGTCCATTGCTGAGAGTCGAGGTCCCAGGGTTAGACCTTGGTAATTCTGCAACGCCATGTCAGACAGCACGTGTACTGACGGTGTTAGAGTTGCACATTCGGCAGTCGAACATGAATGGTGCAATGCAGACGTGGGTGCTCTAGGAGCAGCTAGGGTCTGAACCCATAGCTTCTTGCGGCACCTGCCACATTCTCCGAGTATTAAGCAGATGTGCCTGCACGTGTCCACGCACCAATGTGATTTGTGCAGATATAGGCCGGTGTGTTGTGTCTCCATGTGTGCATGCTTGTATAGGAGGGCATGAGGATTGATGTGTGAGTCCTCACATGTACATAGGTGTGTAAGTTCATTCGTAAAAACCGCATTGATTCTTGTTTATGACATTTATTCAGCACCGCTTCTAGCATTCCTGATACGGCAGGCATGTTCTTCTCGCCACTTCTGATAAACATGTGTCTCGCTCTGGCTTCTGTAGGTCCGACTGCTACACACCTGACGCATACTATACATGATAATATTCATGCCAACAAACAGGCTCGGGCCTACGATCAGAGTTAACGCCACGATGGTATATATCAGGCCAAAAGGCACATACCTTTATACCACATGGTCAAGCTTTGCGAGTATCTTCAGCTCTTGAATGGAACTTCACTTGCACGCATAGAAGCGTGCGTATAAACACAGAATTCCCACTCTCGCTTGAGAACCCCTGCCGAACAAGCAAGAGCTGTTCATTTACTGATCAGGAACCACCTAAAACCTGGCATTCGGTGCTGATCTCAACCACCTGGCAGTACTGCAACTTAAAACTTGCAGCTTATGCCTCGGTTGCTCCCAAGTACTGCCGCTGTTACGAGGTGCTTCTTGAATTCGTGAATGATTTTTTTTTTGGGGGGGGGGTTTCATGCCTCACCCGCCTGGCATGTGTTCAAAGCAAAACGACAGGTTCTGCGGCTCTCGCAGGAATTAAAGCACGGTCATGGCCCATGGGATGGAACGCTGATGTTCCGTGCTCGTGCAAAATTCTATGCTTCTGCAGCTCATGTCACTGTACAAGCCACGCAAGGAGACACTCGCCTCTGCGGCATCGCCCGGGTGCGAGTGTGGTGCATCCTGCTTAAGCAAGCAGTGCACAGGAAAGAAGCAAGGCTTCCCAGCACTACAGGGACAATATCTCGCAACAACGTCGCACTTCTTTTGACCAACGCTCGCAAGTTTGTCCAGACCTCGGCCAGACAATTGACTGTGACAGGATTGGCCAAGCTTGACGAACAGAACAGCCAACACATGGCACTGCGAAAATCATACGGAGTTTGATGCCCGGCTGCTAACGTGTTGGGAAAACCTCCCGCTGCTCCTGTCGGTCTTTCTCTGTTGCCCACTGGCCCTAGGGTCTGCGAAGATCTGCGCTGCACATGTACAGGCGGACCTGCTGTTGGGCTTCCCTGACATGTCGAGGCCCGAGCCTACAGTAGCTACTGTAACAAAGCCCTGATATATAGCTGGATGCTGCGCAGAATTCTGCCGGCGTGGTGGCTTCCCTCATTCAACTGGGTCCCTGCATAGCTCGGCACTTTCGCGACTAACTCCTGACATAGTCTGGAGCGAGCCAACAAGATAAGCCAAGTAATAGTGGCATAGGAAATAACTTCTGAACAGTCAGCTGTCCCGACTGCGCGCGCAGGGCCCGGCCCATCCATTCGATGGCTGGCTTCGGAACTTGAGGCATCACGTAGCTCTCTTCCTCCACACAGATAAGAGGAGCGGACCCCCGACAACTCCGCACGAAGGCTCGCACTGGTCAACTCGGGCATCTTTCTTTCCCCAGGCTCGAGGGCGTGCCCCCGCGGGAGCAGCCCGTCTGTTGAAGGGACGCACGGTATTATGTGCGATAGCGGTCTGTTCCTCTCCACGGGCGGGCTCGGTGATCTCTCTCTCTCTCTCTCTACCCTTCCTCTCTTCATTGGAAAAGTTGAAGGATTTCCTTCAGCATGTTGCCCCAGATGGCTCCAGAAATGACAGGCATCCCTAGAATGTTCCAGCTGGCGTGCCCCACTTACCCCGGCGAATATTGTCAAAACACAGCACACTGTCAACAACAAAAATGCACTAGGTTGACGGCACCACCTCGAAATAAATCTTCCCCGCGGATGCTGACAAATGCCAAAGGGTCACTAGCCAAGCGAGAGTCGGAGAACTGAACGCGGCAGAGTGGATTAAGACGACTACGAAAGCTCTGCAGTTCAGAAGCAGACGGCGGCAAGCTAGCAAGGCGCGGCTATGCGCAATGACTACAGGACACAGCCGTCTGGGAGCGCTACGGCATCTCCAAGCATTCCAACGCAGTGAGCAAGGTGAGGTTCAAGGCTGTGAGGTTCGCCTGCAAAGCTGGCAGTAGCCGACGACTTCTGGTACCCACTGCTACTGATACTGCTGCACCACCACCGCAGCGCATCACGAAGAGTCTGAAAACTGCATTGCGCTGGCATGTGTACTCGTAATCCTACTAGTACTAGTCTTAATATCCAAAGCAATTGTAGTAAAAGTCGTCGTCGACATCGTGGTTGCTGTCGTAGTCGTGGTCCTAGCCGTAGCCGCAGTCGTAGTAGCAGCAGTCGTAGTAGTAGCAGTAGTAGTAGTAGTAGGAGAAGTAGTAGTAGCAGTAGTAGTAGTAGTAGTAGCAGTAGTAGTAGTAGTAGGAGAAGTAGTAGTAGTAGTAGTAGTAGTAGTAGTAGTAGTAGTAGTAGTAGTAGTACCATGTAGTACCACTTGTACCGCTTGCGCCACTTGGGCCACTTGCACCATTTCTCTTCTTGAAATGATGCAAGCGGCGCAAGTGATTCAAGTGCCGCATGCAGGTGGTGCAAGATTGCAGGATTTCAACATTCGCCCCTCCCCCCCATCATGCACACTAGCAAGATTGCAAGATTGTGCAAAATGAGGAATCTTACGTGCAATCTTGCCCCGCAAACTAGTAAAGCAAAATACCACCATCAGCAAAGTCTTTGCCCACCGGCGACCGCCCCAAGATTGGCAAGATTTGCAAGATTGACCTAGATGGGCAAGATCTTGGTCCCAAAGAGCACGGTTCGTTTCCCAGCACAATGTCGTTTTGGCTCCCACTTGTCGGCGGATCCCGCTCTGCAGGCTGTGCGTTAGTAGTAGTAGTAGTAGTAGTAGTAGTAGTAGTAGTAGTAGTAGTAGCAGAAGTCCGGTCTACTTGTTCCAGGAGCGATGGGATAGACGCGTGAGGAACAAAACTTACGATAACGACGGCCATTTCTTCGTCTCAGCCAACAACACCACGGTCGCCTACACCAGATGCTGGAAATGGTCCAAGGGGATTCAAGGAGATCCTACCACAAAAGAGCGTACGAACCGCATGCTGCAGAGCCAAGTTCCAGACATTTCTTGGGGAAATCCAGGTTGACACTAGGCCCATAGAGCACAGCTCAACTCAGCCGCCTAGGTCACAGACCACGGCTACGGCCACTGCGGCTCCTCCCCCTCCCACACAGGAGGAGATCGAAACGTACGTGGCCGACAGCATCCAGAACAACTCCTTTGCGGAGTTAATGGCCACCGTCCGCGACACCCACCACTACAATCAAGATCTCACGGAGCAGGATGTGCTGGAACTCATTCCTCGCGGACTAGGACAAATGGAAGTCTCAGGATCCATGTGGTTATGTTGCCTCCACTGTCGGAAGCATAATCGCCGTGTTCAGTTCAGCACAGGCCATGGCATCAAGAACCACTTTGTCACGCAGAAGCATGACCCTGTGTCACAACCTGCAGCACAAGGAGCCTGGACCGCCACTGCCCCAGTGCCTCATCCTCCTCCTCCCCCCAAGCCAACAATACCGCAGGAGATCCCTCTCCCTCCCAGTCGCACCCGCACCAAAGGGTCCGACAAAGCCGCTGGCTTTGCGCCTCCGGCTCCCCCTCCATGCCCCTTTACTTCCACTGCGGCAGAGAAGGCGGCCTACAAGGAGAGCCAAGCGATAGCACCGAAGTCGTCCCCCACACTTCCGGTCAAAGCTCCACCGGCCCAGGTGGCCTCCTCGCCTGTGGCGCCGGCTCCCCCTCCAGCTATCCCTGGCTGCCTCCCCTCCACAGGCACAAGCAGAACAAGCAGCCCAAGCTTCCCAGCGTTCTCTCACGCCTCCCCCTCCCTCATCCCGTCCCCCGTCAGCCTACGAGCCCCCAGAGAAGAATGCTGGACCAGTTGGCTATGTCCCACAACCGGCCCCCCAGACGGAGGTCAACTACACGAGGCTGGAGCTTGCTCAATTGTTGAGCTCTCAGTCCCACCAGGACTGGATCCGAGCATTGGCTTCCATCAACATTCTGGTGGCTCCGGTTATTCTGGGAGGTCTTACCAACCAAAAGCAGCAGAACCTCTGGTCCACACGAGTGGAGGCTCTCAGCCAGGTGCCTCCGCTCTTCTCGGCCATCAAGTCTGTCAAGACTCAATCTGGCCTCACATGGGACACCGCCATGTCTGTGCGGCGAGTCCTAACTAGCGAAGGACGAGTCACCATAGCCACAGGCTCTGGAGAAGCCTATCAGGAGCTGGATGCTCCCACAAAGGTGCATGGCCTGATCCATGCCTGTTTCAACAGGTTGTGGGACGAGAAAGAGTTCCAGCGACACTTCCCAACGCGGATTGAGTTCAACATGATCGCTACTACAATGATGACGGTCTACAACGAAACTGCAAAATCCGCAGGTCTCCCAGCTAGGATGCTCAGGGTCAAACCCAACAAAGATGCCTACTCCGTCATGAAGATGAGGATTCAGCATGACAAGGGGATTGAGGAAGACAGGCGTATGGCCAAATTGGCAGCAGCTGCTGCACCCAACAAGCGCCCGCAGGTGCATGAGGCAGATACAGAGGGCAAACGCCAACGCGATGCCCCTTCATCCTCAGCCTCCAGTCAGTGGGCCAGGCCGGCAAGCTCCACTCAGGAAGAAGACTGGGACTGGTGGCAACAGTGGTCCTGGCACGGCTACTATCACTCTTCACCGCAGTGGCCGCATGGTCACAACCAGTGAACCTAGAGCAATGTCACAGACTCCCCTAATCCCGTATGGCACAGCCTCTGGGAATTCGATGCTCTTCCGACGCTTCTGCACATCTCTTCGGAAGCTGCAGTGCAGAGTGATCACCAAAGGCAAAATGCAGGACTCTGCACTACGTCTGAGCTGATCCGATCAGTCAGCTATCACAGTTTGACTCAACCAGCTCTGCAGGTACGCGCATGTGATCTTTACGGCCTTCTGTCAACAGCATGAGTAATCCGTGTGGGACGCCACGAGACGGATACTCCAGGTGTCGGCTTCGTCTGAGGTACGGCCTACTTGCTGGGACAGGTGCACAGACGGACGCGTCTGTTCACAACAAGGTGTCGGAGGAGGAAGCCATAGTTGAAACTTAGGAACTGATTAGACTGAGCAGATTGAGAGGTCTGAGCGATGAATGCTAGCAGCAGTTTCACGAGTGCACGAGACCAAAGGCGCCCGCAAAGCGCAGAGCACGCTCGCGCAGCGTTCAATTGAAAAATAGTAGCAGAAGTAGTAGTAGTAGTAGTAGTAGTAGTAGTAGTAGTAGCAGCAGCAGTAGTTTTTTATCACCGACATGGCACTCCAATGACAGCTCCGCGGGGACTTAACTTCTAACTACTCACAACAGAGCCTGTATCATACATAGTAGCAGTAGTAGCAGTAGTGGTAGTAGTAGTAGTAGTAGTAGCAGTAGTGGCAGTAGTAGTAGTCGTCGTCGTAGTGGTAGGAATCGTAGTAGTATTAGTAGGCGCCCCCCTACTAACCACCTCTCCTTAACACTTTTAAGAGCACATCCATTTTACTCGGTATTTAGTGCACTTGCGTGATGTCGCAGTGCAATACCAACCATCGCTGTCGAGAACTGTTGCTGCTTGCGGGGTGGGCGGGGGTCATAATGACGCACTTTTTAAGAGGACATCCATGTTGCTCGGTATTTACAATACTTTCGTGATGTCGCAATCCAATACCAACGATGATGATCATGGGTTGAGGCGCCAGGTGGTTGGGAGCGGGGTGGCTAGTAGTGGTAGTAGTAGTAGTAGTAGTAGTAGTAGTAGTAGAAGTAGTAGTAGTAGTAGTAGTACTACTACTACTACTACTACTAGTAGCAGTAGCAGCAGCAGTAGCAGCAACAGTATGAGTAGGAGTAGGAGTAGGAGTAGGAGTAGGAGTAGGAGTAGGAGTAGGAGTAGGAGTAGGAGTAGGAGTAGGAGGAGTGGTGCAGAACAAACAAACTAATCCGACATGATAGGGCTTTATTTACATTATGTTCTATGGCATTGTACAACGCAAAGTAATGTTATAACTATAACCTACATTGTGCTTTATGTATTCGGATAAACACGATTTCATACTTGGAGTTCAACATCGCACAATGCATCTAGTACCCGAAGGTCAAAGTCCCTATGTAAGATGCAGGCCAAGACGTCTGATGACCACCAGGCGCCCAGCTCCGAGCCCAAGGAGGACCTGCGGTCGATGACTGCACCTTTCGGGGCCCTCACTTATAGTCTTCGGAGAGACGCAGCGCAAGGCTTAGCACTCAAGAGAAGGCTCATGTTTACGCTCTCGCAACGCACTTGCCAGACGAGGTCTCGAGTTCGAAGTACTTTGAGTGGTCAGGCTGGTAATCAAATGTAATCAAAAGGCTCGTGTTCGGCGCTCACACTCGGACAATCCATGCGAGGCATATGGTTCGGAGTCTGCTGAGTGAAACGGACCTAAGGGAGCATTTATCTACAACGACTTGTATCCAATATGGCGACAACAATAACTTAACTGTGCTCCTGGAAGTGTCCTACGCCCCTCTCAAGATCTCCGATGTTGAACTGTGGCCACCGGCTTGTATCATGCGGGATCTTGAGGCCAATCTCTGCAGGTCGCTCTGAGGACTCGGGAGCAAAAAGGCCACTACACAAGTTTACGCTCTCACAACTCGGACACAGCCAGGCGAGGTTGGCTCGTGTGGATTCTCTCCACAAGTTTAGTGTTTCGGGTTTGGAGCTTCTGGCCTCCTGCATTTGGCTGGCGAGTCTGGCATCGCAGAGTGCAAGGCAAGGCTACACCACATGTCTGAGATGACAGTGAACTAAAGCAGCTCACCAAAAAAACAGAAGATGATAACACGAACCCCACATGTTTTCGATGTTCACACTCGCACAAGGCAGGCGAGACTCCGCATTGTCCACAAGATCGCCACTTTTACATCTGCGACACCCTTGCAGACACCTCTCCATGCACCCCCAAATGTTTTGGCTTCGACTTGCACCCTCGCACTGGGCAGGCACGGATTCACAGGGGAAGTCACCACGGCGCCAACATGTTTAGGGTTTGGATAGGGTTTGGACTCTCGCAACTCGGGCAAGGCTGAGAGTTTAGGAAAAAGGGCCCCAGCCCTTAAGGAAGCCGCCTGGTAGCTTCCGGAGAAGTTGGCAGGCCTGAAGTGACATGTAATGTGAAGAGAGAAAATCTCGAGTAGAGCACTCTGTGGGCATCTCTTGCGGACCTGCAGCTTGTTTGCGCGCTGGCAGCTCGCAAGGGCATAAATTCGGGGAATGAACTGGTGTTACTCACCAGATTTCAATATGTCTGGGACCGGGGGCGCAACTCTGACCGCAGCACAAACCTCCAATGCTTTAAGTCCACATCCTGCTACCTGCACATGTCAGAACTCTTCCGAAGTTGCCCTGAGACGGCCGGCAGAAGATCATAAGGCACCTTAAGGGAGTAAAGAGCCCCTCCAACGCCTCCCACTTACCCTTAAGGGTCCGAGCCCTCCCCCTCTACCCATCATTGCCACTGCACCGACCGGCAGAGGAACTAAGGCTTGATTCTGGTGCTGGGGCGTTCAGGAAAGGAGGAGCCCCACCTGAGGAGTGCGATTTGATGATTTGGGTGGACAGGCCATCATGTGCTGCCAAGGAAGCGACGGGCTGAACAGCGATAACTTCTGGAGGTTCTGAACCTTGAGGACGTAAAGTAGCCGACTCCCATCTAGTCCTACAGCCAGCCACTTTGTCGACTCGAGTGGGCCAAGACCTTTTGGAGCGGAAATCCAGCCGGAGATACACGAAGGGGCTTGAGTCGGCATGTGCCAACGCAACAACTACAACAACCGTGTGAGTGAGGCTACATTAGCTACATTCCAGTTCAGCCAACACGGCCAAAACTTTAAGCGCCATGCCGATGAGGCAAGCATGGTGCAACCTTAGCAATGCACAAAGGCTCAGTTCTGCCCATGACAAACGACAAGCTTCCTGTACTTTGTGCTCAAGCGTAGGCTGCGTACCCGAATAAAGTTGACAGGCCCCCATACCTGACAAAGATCTGCAGCGCGAGCAAAACGCCACAGTGGGCTCCAACACTACGCATTTCTGGTTTCAGGGAGCCCTTCTCAGAGACTCTTCCATTGAGCATCATTGAGCTCGGTGCAAGCATGCAGCTGAGCCCCGTGCGCATACATTGGCGTTGCATCCCATGCCATCGTTTCACCTCATGGCTGGCTTCTTCCATGTGCTGTGCAAGCTCGAGATATGAAGTGCGGGAAGTCAACTAAAGCATTTCACACAAGTAGCGAGAGATTCTGGGCGGAATCAAACTGCTTGAAGTGTCTCAAACCGGCAGCATTGCAAGAATTGCGGGAAAGTTGAACTGCTGATTTTTACACGAGTGAGTGGAGCTCCTTCCTCGCGATGGGACTGATGCCAAGGTTAGCACCCGGTTGAACACGGCAAAGCTGCTGGTGCAGGATCTGCATGTGAGGCATCAGCTCCTGAGACCCCAAAAACAGATAACAGATATCACAAATTCTAGATCCCTTCGCTGTTCAGCTGCCTTCTTCGCATCTCTCCGAGGCTCCAACAATGATGACACTTCCAACCTTTTGGCTTGCAGCAGGGGGCTGGATGAAACTATACATCCCTGACGATACGTCTGCTGGATTTCTCCAGGGCCACTGATGTGGACACGCTCTTTTTTGGACGCTCAGCGATCAGTTCGATGGCTCAGATGGAGCGGGATCTCAAAGAAAACTCGAATTGGTTGCCCATTAATGGGCTTACCATCACCCTGCAGAACTAGATCGGCAGACGACATGTCGCTGAAGTCTGCATATGCATGACCTTTGGGACGTGCCGTAATCGGGTCAAGTGCAACTTCAATTCGGTTGGCCTTTGGTGCACCCCGCTGTTTGATGAAGAGCTTCAACTGCTCAGTTATGTTCTCCTGTGAAAGAGAGACCTGCAATCCCTCGAAACGTATCCGATGTTTTCGAGCAGACTCCTCCAGCAGATTTCCACCGTCCAATGCCGGATGGGTTGTTGGTGGCGCAGGAGGCAGGCTTGCAAGCTTCTTGCTTACCAACTTCCGGGCGATCATGTGCAGGATGTCTGCATCTTCACACAGATCTGAAGGTTTCATACCGTCTGTGTTTTCTCGGTCAATGCGGGCGTTCAGCTCCATAAGCAGGGCCACCACTTCGCGATCCCTGTTCATGGCAGCATAGTGCAAAATACCGTTGTTTTGAGCATCGACTGTTTCGAGGTCCGCCTTGGCACCAATGAGAATTTGGATGATGTTGGAGCTGCGGTTGAGCACTGCAAGTGCCAGAGCACTTCTTTGTTCACAGTCTGTTTGCTTCAGGACCTTCCTTGCAATGCTGGGAAAGTTGCTCCTTAGATGTCAATCAGGCTCAGCAGTGGGACAATCATGTCGCCTTCACAGAGAATCGGGGTTTGTACTGGAGCAAAGGGTCAGGGCAGAAGTTTATCCGGATAAATCTCTGGGGGCCTGAGGTTCTGGGGAAGGGAACTGCAAATAAAACTCTAGGCCTAACCCTTTAGCGCAGGCAATCGTCGACGGAGATATATTTGTCGAAATCGCACTACATGTACACCGACATGGCTTTTTGTGCTTAAAGAGCGACATGCCGTGATTTATGTGATTTGGTGCAGGCTGCAATCTAAGCTGCTGCATGCCTGCGGGACTCGGGAACAAGCTTCTAGGCCACACGCACAGCAGCAATGATTCGTTCTGTTCCTTCAAAACAAGCAAGCATCCCCTGGATAAAACTCTAGGACCTGACCCCCACGAGGCCTTCAAGTATCAACAAAAACAGCCCAAGATCACAACGCCTGGCCCAGATAAAACTCTGGGGCTCAACCCCGCGTCACGAGAAGCAGGAAACTGGATAAAGATAAAGTTTGCGGCTTGACCCCCAGGGGATCATCTAGGCAGTACAGACCCCGATACAGAGAACATCTGGCTAATCACATGCCCAGGCGCTTAACAAGCTTAGAGCGAATGTCAGTCGCCGTCTCCAGCAAAGCGCAGGGATGTTCTCCGCGCTTCTCTCGCAAGTCCTCGTACAGCGGTCGACTTGACGGCTGACACAAATGCACACTGTCACGGCTTCGCTGACTGGTGAGCAAATCAGAGCAAATCCGATTACTTGTTCTTTTCACGTGCTGAAATCCTTGACCGGTCCTTGACCAGTTTCTTTCGGCTCCCGACCTTGTTTTTCGGAGTTGGGGTAGCCACCTTGGCGTGACGACACGAGGCCTGTACGGCTCTGAGAAGTGTAGCCGAAGCCAGCAGAGCCCAGCCGTTCAGACAAGCTGCCGCCTTTGCAGATGACTTGACATTTCCACGCGCACCCCCCGGGCTTCCTCTCACTGAGGTAGAGCCCTTTGTGGCATCGCGATCTCTTTCGGGCTGAAGGTTCTTGGTCTTCTTGGCCTTTTCCGGCGAAGCGGGGCCTGTTCGAATAAGGCTCGCGATAGGTCCATGAGCCACTTACTAGGCTTCTTTCTGCCGCTAAGAGGCTCGTCACGTGAAAATGTGGCAGCTTCGGGGGAGCTGGAATGTCTGCCAACCTGGGACTGGGAGACCAGAATCACAACTCTGCAGAACTGAAAACCCCTGGTCGGAGAGAATGCTACTGCGCAAACTGTGGCAACCATCCGGTGCCGAAACGTACTCAAAGAGGCATTGCTTGGACAACCGCTTCGCGATGGTTAATCACAGCCAGAAGGAATGCTGTTGCACCAGAGTCGTCTTCCACGACCTTGTCAGGATCTGCCTTGTAAAAGAGAAGTGTCTGCAAAGCGATTGTCTGCCCATTTGCGGCAGCCATGTGCAGTGCTGTTCTCATGTCCACATCCAACTCCTCGATATCTGCGTTGGAGGCAAGAAGTGCCTGAATCATCCCTCCGTCGTTGTATTGCGCCGCGATGTGCAGTGCAGTTTCACCCACGTATGTGCGGGAAGTGAAGTCACTGCCGAGGTAGTGCAAGTTGCATAGGGTCTGTACGTTGCCAGACTGGGCTGCCCAATGCACTGGAAGCCACCCACTCCTCGTGAAACACGCAACCCACCCGGAGGCACAACCCAGAGGGATCAAGTTCCCAAACAGGCCTGAAATTACTTCTCGAGGCTGACATGGCAAAACTGACAAGAACAAGCATGTCATGCCAGGACACTCGTCGCGGGCATCCAAATCGGCATTCTTGTTGACCAGATTCCTGAAATGGAGTTCTTTTGGTGATTGCAGCCATCATCTATTGCTAATGCCTGTTGTCATCAATTAGGGCACGGAAAATGACATTCTGTTGCATCTCTCTGGGGAGTTACATCAAAAACGCTCCGGGCTTCGACCCTTGGCTAGGGAAAATCGCACACAGCACCACACGGCGGCAATAGGTCACAGCCCTCTACTCGAATACAGCACAGAAGGCCATTTTTCCGACGTCGCTGTCTTCGCCAAGAGCTTATTGTTGTAAATCCCGTGACCTTTGGCTGTGTGCCTTCAGACTTCAAATCTCCAATAAGCGTCGTTACGGCCTCGCAGGCACCATGCCGCGCGGCCCACAAGAGTGCAGTGCGTCGTGCCTCATCGCGGACATTAACCTGCAGTCAAACCGGCTTTTCTATCGCGACTGGCGTGCAGTCACATTGCTCGTCAGGTGGAAATTGGGCCCAGTTGCACACCAGCATTCAGCAAAACAGGCACACTAGATCACCCGGCCAATGGCATTGCTACTAGTTGTGCAAGACCGGCAGCCCAAGCCCCGATGGCTAGCTCGGCGTCGATCTCTTGCCAGCGCCCCGCCTCACGGAACGATATCGTGACAACTATATGTCCTCTCTGCTGTCTGCTTGATCACCACCGAAGCCCTTCAACTTTAAACCAATGGGTAGCAAAATTATGACTGCACCCGACATCGGCAACCTAAGTAGTTTGACATTGGGTAGCTTTGCCAAGCTGTGTGAAGGCCGTAGCAGCTTGGCAGGTCTTCCGGCCTTTGCGTGCTCGAGCAACCGCTCGTTGCTCCCAACTATTTCCACGACAGAGTCGCCCACTGCCAAGTGGTCGGTGCTGAGCATTTGAAGAACCTCCCCGCGCTCATCGATGAGATTGGGATTGGCTCCATGCCGGATGACAAGTTGAACCATATCCAGGGATTGATGCAGCGCTGCCCACATCAAAGGGGTCCAACCGTCCTCATCCTCTACGTTGAGATTTGCGCCTTCTTCTATCGCTCGCTTCACACCATCATAGTCATTGTTCCTGGCTGCAGCCTGGAGCTCCTCATTCACCTCCTGAACGGCTGCAATCATGCTTCGCATTTCCAGCTGCTCCTGCGCATGGTCGTACACTGTCAGGCCAGCTTCGTCTGCTTGCAGCAAGTTCAGACCATTGGCCAGAAGAGTCTCCACCATAGATAGGTGCCCATGCCGGGCTGCCCACATGCAGGCAGTTCGTCCCTCGTTATCCTTGGTTGGGCCCCCCACAGAACCAGCCTTCTCCTTGCGACTGCGAAGCCTCAAGGCCTTTTAACCCATGATGCTAGATCAACGATAAACCACAGCAACTAAACTGTAAACCACTGCAAGCTTTTCACAGGCATGTCAAACGCCCCTACTGAGAAGTGACAGGGCTCGGATTTGAGATAGTTTGCGCTGGATGTCAGCAATGCCGTCGCGACATCTTCACAGCCGTTTATGGCACACCAGATCAATGCTGTCCAGCCATTGTTATTTACCTGCAGAAAGATGAATGCCGGGAGAGCTTGCGTGCCACGGGCCCGGGCAAACTTCTAACTCTGCCATGTGCTGCCCAGCAGCAGAATTCAGATTTGCCTTTTTGGCAATCAGGTAATTCGTGGCGCTGGTATTATTCTGTCGAGCAGCACACATTAGTGGCGTGTTGCCTCAGTTGTGCCGCAGAAAGCAGCGCCAGTAGGCAGCTTACTTGTAAATGGATGACAGAGCTATTTGCCCCAGGCCTTCGCTGCAGGAGGTGTCGAGATGTGCTTTTCCGTCCACCAGCAGCTTCACCAAGTGACTGGAACCAAGATGCGCTGCAAAGTGCACAGGAGTCCAACCAAAGGCTCTATCCTTTATGTTCACCTGGGCCGTCGATGCGGGAACACTGCCCTTTCTAGTCTACGACCTAGGGTCCAAACCTGTTGGCCCCGGGCCTCTTTCTGTCCATCTGCATGACTAAGCCAATCAGCCACAGCTTTGCCCTTCTTCTCCTGCTGCATTCGGGTTTCTGTGCCTTCTACAAATTGTCTTCGGATGTCTACAAGCATTCCTGCTGGCAACACTGCATCCACGCCCATTCGACAAGAGCAACAACATCAATTAGAATCCGCCTGGAGGAGGAACCAAAGCCGTGTTGACTCAGCTGATGGCTTCTCTGCAGCTTGCCTCTCAAGGCGTTCACCTTGCTTCAGACATCATGTTTGGTAGCGGTTCCTGTTGCTATGAGCAGCAGGATTACAACACCCAGTGCATCTCCGTGGCTCTTTGTTCCCTTGCCGTTGGACGGGCGGCGCTCACGCTCCTCAGGTGGAGGAGGGGGCGGAGGCGGAGGTGTGCTGGGATCAACCTCGCCATCGTCTGAATCATCCATGGCGGCTTCCCAAAGGGCTGTCGAGACTTCCGCGTGCTTGTCGAGCAACTTTCTGATGTTTAAGATGATCAAAATGGGCTAGTCGTCTTCAAAAGCAAACTTGCAAGCTCTGGGTTCTACTCGGGAACACATCCACCGTAGGCTGCTTGGCAAACACTGCCGCGCCGGTAAAAGTTCCTACTAGCTAGGTGAAACTACTGCCTGTGACAAAATCGAGCCAACCGCAGTTCAAAAAAAAAAACCTTGCTTGCAAGCTGCACGGATGCTCTTATAAGGCAAAACACGATCGTGTCTTCGACTGTGGCTTTTGCCGACATGAATGCCCCCCAAGCGAGGCCAGCTCCGTGAGCACCTGCCAACTGTAGCAGAATGTTCAAAAAGCGACAAAGATCCTTGCAGTCCAGTAAAACAAGGTTAAGCAAATTTCGCGCTATCCAGTACAATGATGCCCCACCTCATTGTGCCTGTCTGATTTTGGCCCCGATACGACTCGACGAACAGAGTGGACAGCAAAGCTCTTGCTGCCTATAAGGATGCTCGCTGAAGCTGCCAGCTGCCATTGGCCTCGTACATCAGACCTCGGCATGAAGTGATCCAAGAGCCATCAGCCCTGCGCACCCAACATCTGGAAAACGACTTGGAGGCTGACTTCAGATCCTGCAGGTGCGGTGTGAGAAAACAAGGGGGCTGCCTTTCGATGCATTCAAAACACAACTCCGTCCAAGCCTCATGTGCGAAGTCTGCCCAAAAAGCTGCTGCGCCTGAGATTAGCGAGCCAAGAAACGTGCCTCATGTCATTGAAGGATGAGATCCCGGCGGCGGCGAAGAAGGCCCGAGCGAAGCCTTGACTTCGTCTGTTGCTGCAAATCGAGCAGCCCTATCCATGAAACAGCTCTAACACTAATAATAATCATGATGATAGTCATGGTGTTCAAACTATTCTGATAGTCATATTAAGAAGAATAACGATAGCACTGAAAATGCTAATTCCTTGTCCAGCTCCGATGCACAGGTTCTTGGTGCACATGCCAGCGAACGAGACCGAGGTCACAGCAAACTGACGACTTGCTTGCTGTTCACAAGCGCGCGTCTCGCCTTAGGTGATGCAAGTGCAAGTAAGATCAAGCATGCGAACTTCTTGGCCCCACTTTCAGCCACATTTTCGTGTCGGAACTCTCTGGCTGCTGTGAGCTAGCGTGCCTGCGAAATGTGTCCATCTCACAATGATTTGGTTCACCTCATTCAAAATCCTTCGTGGAATGGGGAGACCTCTGTGGTTCACGGGTTCGGCCATGAACATTACGACACTTGCAGCTTCAAACGTCATTCGGCATGCCTGGCTAGGCATTCCACAAATGAACTGGGATTTTGTAGCTCTTGCATGCTTCTGCTTCTCCTATGTTGGTACGCCTGCTGTTGCATCTGCACAGGCCTTTCCGACAAATCCTACGCTGTCCGAAACATTTGTGCGCTTGGTTGCTGCGCATGATTCGTATAGACTTGTGTTACATTCGGAGCTACGTACAGAATATTGTCGGATTCCTTAGACAGATCGCACCGGAGAAAGTAGCGAAGTTTTGGCCTTTGCGCTTCGCCTATTTTGGCTTGATTGCAACGTTCTGCCACTGGCAAGGTGGACAATCATCTATAAGAATTCTGCCAAAAACAATAGAAAACCTTTTCACCAGGAGCACAGAACTTTCTCTCGGAGACATGTGCAACAATGGTATCCTCATGAAATTTGGAGTTCTGTTTCGCGTCGATCTGCCACAGCACATTGCACGTCATGCTTGGCTGTAAGTGGCTTCCAACACGAAAAAAGCGCTTACGAAGCGGTGAAAGCATTGCATCCAGCACTTTCAAACCTTTAGCCTCTCAACTCGTCTGTTACCACCAAGCATCTGATGCTCGTGTTTTGTGCAAGTTCGTTTGCGTGACAGCTGGGTCCCATTGATAATTGCAATCTCGTGCACACATCAGGGTGCCGTCTTCGTTCTAGCTAAGTGCTTCTAATTCGGAGGGTACGTGCAACATGTGGGAGATCTTGACAGAGCAAGCAGGAGAGGCTTCCGAAATTGAGTGCACCGAAAAGCTGGTGAAGGATAACAGCTTGCGAGTTGGTTCCGTCGGCAGTCCTGCTAAGGGTGGGCTCCGATCGAGACACCGGTCTGGCATTAGATCGTTTCATGATCCTGTGGAATTCTCTAGACCACGGCCTCCTCCAGATGCCGCTGGCTGCTTCATGGCACGTGTCGTCTCTTGTGCTTTAGCTCTCTGAACAAGGGCTCGTGCAGGCGGCCGTCGCTCGATGAGCAGCATGCGCCAGCTGGTTGCCTGCAGTTCTGCGCGACTTTCGTCCTAGACGCAGCAAGGCTGGAGTAGACCTAACAGATGCACGGGCTTGACGGCCACTGTGCAAGATCAAAGCTCCAACATAATCTGGTGCTGATGAACTTTTCCAGGACCACTTGCCCTTGGGCCAAGCTGCGCTTTCCTGACTCGTCCTGGCACATGGCGGAGCTACCGCTGAAGGTGCATGCCATGCAGCAGTGGCAGAGCTAACTTCTCACAGGCATGGCGTTTTAACTCAGTGCTGTGAGCCCTGTAAGGGCCAAATACGCCCTTCTGGGCTGCAAGGAGGTCGGCTTTGGAGCAGAACAACCCTGCAAGACCCTCTGCCCTCTCCGAGCCTGGAAGCCTGGCTCCATGCAGAAACGCCCGCCGTGGAGAAGCCAGCAGCCCTTGGCTTGAGATGCTGGAGAGGTACTCAAGCCAATTTGTTCTCATAACTGTGGATGCCAGCTCATCGCAAACTTCGGGAGCCTCTCTCCACTTGCGAGGAGAGCTGAGGCAAACGCACGCGATCCACTGCAAGTCGAGAGGATGATGTGCCTCGCAATGCTCCGACCAGGCAGCTTCAGTGCTTGTGCTTGGAACACTAAGACTAAGAGCTTGGCTCAAGCCGCCTTTGTCCCTCCCTTAGTGTGGAGGTATACTTCTGCGACAGGCTGCACTTGCGCACCCGCAACACACCCCAGAAATTCACACGACGGTTGCTCCACCCTAACAGGACCTCTCGGGCATCCACCAAACAGCGTCACGCCCTTGTAGCCCCAATACCTTCAGATGTCCGACCACGTCCGGCGAAGTGTACACTACTGCGAAGACGGATCTGCGAAATGTCTCCCGTCTGGCAGTTGGCGCATCACCCCCCGATGCACTGCACCACCAAGGCATCGACGCATGTTGGAAGCATCTTTGAGGCGGCTGCCCTTGCGAGAGTCGCATGAATGCATAAACTGGCTTGGAGTAGAACTGTAAGTCTTCGCAGGCCAAAGCAGGAAGACACGACCTTCACTGCTTGAAGAGCCTTCCAACACCGCCGAGCGACATTCACAAAAGTCTGTGCTTACAACTACAACTCCACAGCCTACAACTCTCTCAATCGAACACAACGAACTATTCCCAAAGGTTTCTCCAACGTGAAGCGAGGCTGCTGCCGATGTTTGGTTCTCCGATCAGCATGGGCGTCCTCCATCGAACTTCTCTCATTTTGAGGGTGGCTCATGCTCACGGAAATAGCCAAAGACTGCGGGTCCTTCGGCTCAGGAGCTGCAGGAAGGGCCAAGCGAAACTTTGCCCTGTGCCAACATGCTGGAATATGCTGGTTTCAGCGTCGGCCAGATCTTGGAACGACATTTAGGAAATTTAGGATGCGCCTCTGAAACCGGCCTTTTCATCCGGCTTGAAATGACATCCATGCAAGCTTCAGTTGCTTGCTGTGTGTACCCATTGCTTCCCACTGAGGTCTGGACGAAGAGCATCTGATGCTGACCTTGTCACAGAAATCGATCAAGAAGACTTTGACTTGTCTGCAAGCGAGACCTACTGCAATCGTGAGGACGGCGACACAAACAGCAGTCACAGTTGCTTCAACTCATTTCGCTGAAGTGCTTCGACAAGCGCCCTTTCCGATGATGTTGTGACTCACTGCACACGATTTCATGTCGACGCTGTATGAATCTACCAATGGACAAACAGCCAAACACCCAAGACTATGTGAAGGCATTATCCTGCCATGTATTCGCAGTCACAAATGGGAGGTACTATCGGCGAGCATACCTCGTCGAGTGAGCGTTCACTGCGGCAGTCGAAGCCTAAAGCGCTCGACTGGCAATGCCCAAAGCCTGTTTTAAGCCCTGGGCAATCAAACCGCCAATGATGATTCGTAGTGACCACGAGTCTGTCCCGTCTGGGAAGTCCCGTCAACAGCGTCAGTAAAACTATGCGTACTATCTCTGTTGCTGGGCACAACGATGGTCATAAAAAGTCTCAGCCCAAGATATTCTACTGGTTCGTCGCTAAAAAAACTCTTTGCGCAGTGACTTTTCCAACCACCAGTTGTCGCCCACAGCTCTGCGCTCACATCACCTCGCAAACTGCCGGCTTCCTTGGCTCGTCAAAGTCTACGTATCTAGGTACACGCAATCAGAAAAGGAGCTGTGGCCGACGCACTGCAGACTGAGCAGACTTTCCGCAGGTCTTAGGATGTCTCAGGTCGAGATAAGGCTCGGCTGCTGGTTCCGCTGATCTGCCAGCAACTGAACGTCTCTGAGCTTTCCTTCCAGCTCCTGCCGGTCGAGGCACGCAGCGTTGTAAGGCCCCGAACTGACCACATGCAGCGATTTTTGCCCATGTTCAAGCAGCATGTGCAGCGCTTTCAGCAAATCTGAGCACTTGGAGCCATGTAGAACACGAACCCCGGGTGGCCAGTGCAACACTCTCGCAAGATCACCTTCGGCTGCAGTAGCGGTCGAGGCTATGCTCGGGCAAGGCTTCTAGGGTCCTCGTTCTTCTTTTCCAACTCTGCCCCTGCCTTTACCTTCATCTCCAAGTACAGGATATGCTGGTGCGCCTGTTCCAAAACATGTCGGCACGCGGACTGGGCCCACGAGGCATGCGCGATGCTAATAGCGGCTCCAGTCATGCTTCGCGGACGCACGCGTCCTGCTCCATGTCCACGTGCTTCACCTGCAAGACAGCACGCCGGAGGAGACTCATAATTTCTAATCCGAAGCGAGCGACATCAAGTAAGCATTGCTAGCCATTTACACAAGGCTTCGGCTGCAAGAGGTCTCACGAAGGCAAGCCTCCCCGTGGTCAACTTCGTCGATGTGACCAGGAAGGTTTTCCTGCAACCACTTCGAAGTGTCAGAAGACTGCCGCGAAGTGACGAAGCGAATCCCATGCTGACTATCTCAATTGGACACGAGAGCAAAGGTCTGCAAATGTCTGCAACCGGCGTAAATAGGCATGCTTTTGGTGTCGATGACCGTGGCCTCACAATCTGCTGCCGAGGCACATGTCGGCCCTGCATTCGGTTCAGTCTGTGCTGCAGCTGCTCCTGCACAACTGTTGCACAACAGTGCAACAGAATGCAACCATCAGCGTCGGAATCAAGATGGATGTCTAAGCCTGGCAAGCATGCCCATGCCGTTGCGACCTATTTGATGCATGACAGGTCCTTGTCTTGCATAATCTTGAAAACCTGCCCGCGTGCTTTGACAAGCTCGGCCTTCACCTCAGCGTGAGACGAGGATCAGGCACCTCTGCTACAAGCCCCCAACACAAAGCTTCTGACGTCCTCTCAAGGCTGCACAAGCTCATCTTCAGGCTATGTCAGCTATGCAAGGACTTGTCCTGGGTTCCGAAAAACAGAGGCAGGGCGCACAGGATTTTCGATGATTGCATTGCCATGCTGCGCTATAGAACTGCAGAAGTCTGCCGGCCGGCCAATCTTACTACATCAATTCCGAAACTTCCGCATTCCCTGCTTCTGCACACTGCACCTCTTCCAGGGATCCGCCGCGGACGTCCATCCAAGGCTCATCTGACTTGACCTGCTTACGAGTCACTTGGAGCGCAGTGTTGACCCGTCCCAGTTTCAACCTAGCCTATCATCTTTTTGTCAGCCCGCTGCCTCCTTGGGACTGGGAGTCAGCCGCTGTGCAGGCGGCTGTGGCTGCTGTCCAGGTGGCTGCGGCAGCTGCTGTGCCGGAGGTTGCGGCAACTGCTGTGAAGGTGGTTGCGGCTGAGCCGGTGCTGGCGGCTGCTGGGCAGGCGCCTCTTCTGCTGGTGCTGGTGGCGGGGGTGGCTGACTCTCCTGCACAAAGTCATGAAAGCATGGCTCTTCACTGGCTTATTGGCACTTATTGGCTTCGACCCTGAGACAAGAGACAACGGTTGTCGCCACACCCCCCCAGCGCAGCTTCCACTGCTTTGAGGCAACATCTTTCTTTTTCTTCCGTTTCTTCTCTGCAACCGCTGCCCGAGCAACCTCGACATCTCCTGCAGGGCATCTTTGTATGTCATGGGCAGGTTACTCTTCTGGCCGCAATGCAAACAGTCTCAGCATGCTGCTAGTTTTGACATGGATGGATGAAGCCCACACGTCCTTCAGATGCATCATAAGGCACAGGAGTTTGCCACCGATCGCCGCAGCCCCAGTTCCCATGTCCGTTCTGACACTGATCGCTTTCGCCCTGTTCGGCGGCTCGCTTCCGTGCTTGAGCCTCCGCCTTCTCAACCTGGGGGTGTCTTTCCAGCGGCCCTAATAAGCATCCAAGGACTTGGGGTCTACATTGGGGGCCCTCTGAAACTCCCACCTGGAGTTTTACGATATCTACGACGTCCACACCATCCGAAGCCAGGCGCGTCACCAAGGCTTCGAACTGCTCCAGCCATTCCAACATAGCATGCCACAAGCGATCCCCATCCTTGTACCCATTCAGTCGCTCGCCAGGCCCTTCCAATTGAAGCTGCCGATGAAGGCGCGCGACATCCTCACACACTCGCTACTCGCGATCGAAACGGAGTCTGAACACAGCTTTCTACAACCAGATTCGCAAACCGAGCATCATGTTACTTGTAGCGAAAACTTGTTGGAAGACCTATCAACATCGCTTCCAACGAAGCCATGCTGGACTGTGAGGCTCACAGACCAGATCTAGAAGATGTATTTTGCAGCACTACGGTCACTCGGGCTTTTAGCCAGCACTGCCTTCAGAAAGGCTCAAGACAGCTGAAACAAAATCTGGCACGGAGCAACTGAGCTGAGTCCTCGAATGAGTCCACACGTAGCTTTGCCTCGCTATAGAGGAGATCCCAGGGTTTGATAGAGGTACCTGGGCAGCTCTTTAAGCTACACCACTTGCTTGGACTGGCACGAGGCATGGTTCATGTGGGAGCACTAGCCCTACCGCCCCAGAACCGTCAATGACTGAAATCTAGGAAGAGTCTACAGTTTCGTCTGGAGATCAGGCGCCCGAGTAGTGCAGAACGACCGCACCCTTATGGCCAGCACCATTCCGGATGTTCTCATGGGCCACCGAAAAGTCGTGCGGGATCCGCTCGTTCTTATCAATCTCGAAATTGTATTGACAAGAGATGTGCGTCCATCTGTCAAATGTTCCATAGAAGCGTGAAAGGTATTCCTGCTCCGGCATATAAGTCTCGTAATGCTCGGGATGCTCAAAGTCAAATATCTCAGCTTGCATGGTTTCGAACACCGCCTGATCAGGCTTGAGAAGCATAACCCCAGCCTCAGTTAGAGTGGTTACGTCGCGGTCGCAAAACAGGCCGCTAGCAAAACACGACATGCAGCGTTGTCAGCTGCAGATTTGTGAGTACGCTGAGGCCCTGACATTAATACCAGAGGCTTGCTGATGTTGGGGAAGTCCATCTGCTTCCCTTCTTGTAGGATGACCCCACAGAGTCGCATAGGGCACCAATTCTCCATGTTCCATAACAGGTTCACCGCGCTTCATTGCAGCTGGTGCTCGCAATTGGAAAACTTCTCCAAGGTCGCCACGGACAAGTATGTCCAAGTCAAGGAACAGGACCTTCTCGTATTCGTGCTGCTCAAGGGCACGCAGCTTCGTAAAGACACCATGGAAGCGACTTGTCCAGTAGTTCTTGAACAAAGCCCTCGCCACGCCTTTGTATAGGTAATCTACTTCCCTGCATTTCCATCCGGCCGTTGTCAAAGCTTCAATGTATGCCTTCGGGACATCATACGTATGCAGAAGCAACAGGGACAATGTCTGTCCCGTCTGACTTTTGGCCGCAAACCTGCGGAGACCTTCAGCGACGACCAACGCCCCCAAGAAGTACTTGTCACATTCACCGCCGTACAACAGCGTTGCATATGCATGTCTCGTGGTGACTGTGACTGTGCAAGGGGGAGGGTGAGGCTGGGGTATCTCTACTGAAATCGTGAGGGGTCGGCGGCACCAAGGGCACCCAAGCACCGAGTCAGAACCCCTCCCTCGAAGGCACACGCCAGTGCAATTGGACTGGAAGCGTGGTCGAGGGGAGGTGTATTCCGGTACGTGATCTTGGTCGCACCAAGCCTCTAAGGATGCACTGAAGGAGAACTTCTCGAGGAGCTCAACTAACAGTTGCCGCTGCTCCGACTCCGGAAGGTTCCACACCGATAGCAGCACCGCCTTTAGCTCCATGAGGCTCCAGTCGGACACGTTTTATCAACTTCTGCCGAGCAAATTAAGACACGGCCCAAGTCGATCAAACGATGGTACTATATGGGACTACAGTTCGGCTGCATTGCAGACCTGGGTGTTCAACTGCCTTGGGATGGTTTCAGTTGCTTCATACTGAAAAGTGCAACAGTGATAGGCTTGCTTGAGCCTCGCAAGCCTGCAGTTTGTGCCAACCATGCGGTGTTTTCAGTATGCTCGAAGCCCTGTCCTTGTCTGGCTCCGGACGTTCTCGAGCCGCTTCCTGCGAGTGTTCACAGCTTCGACCGGTGACGAAAGC